AGCAACCGCGTACTACGCAGCGCTGCTCGAGTCTATCGACTCGACCGTGCCAAGGGATGGCACGGAGCGAGCAAAGGTGGAGGAGGTGGTGAGTCGCAAAATCGCGAACTCGGTTGCTTGCGAGGGTAGGGAGCGCGTTGAAAGATGCGAGGTGTTTGGGAAGTGGAGGGCCCGCATGAGCATGGCTGGGTTCGATTTGAAGCCACTGAGTCAAAACGTAGCCGAGTCAGTGCGCAACTCCGGCAATCGAGTCCATCCAGGTTTTACCGTCAAAGAAGAGAACGGCGGAGTTTGTTGTGGTTGGATGGGCCGGACGCTCACCGTGGCATCTGCTTGGCGTTAACTTCACCCGCAAAATATTATTATTATAATAATTAATTGCTGTATTTGTATTTTTAATCTTCTTTTTTGTTTTTAAATTAGAAATGAAAAAGGATGAGAAGGAAAGCCCCCCACCAACTCAAATAATAAAATTTATTAGTGTTTGGATGCTAAGAAAATTCTGTGCCGCATCTATTGTTTTCACTTGTACTTCTTTTCTAGATTTGTTTTAAATAATATTTATGCAAGGTTGGATATACGTGTCAGTTTCTAATTGGATTATTGCCCTTCCACAATCTCAGGCAAAGAAGATGTAGTTAAAGGATAGGTTCGACTCACGTGTACGTGTTTGGATTTGGTCGTGGAAGTGTTATCTCTGTAACCAAACAGGTTGTTTGTTGTCATCCTCATGAATGGATTAGATACGGAAAATATTGATTGGGTTTTGGTATTGAACTGGGAAATTTTAATTACTAAATAAAGAAATTTGTATTTTAAAATACTTTTTGGATAATAATTTGTATGGGAAACATTTTCCAGCTAATAAAAGATAACAAAATGGGAGTATTTGCTTCCCATACCAAGAACCTTGTCTGCTGAAATAATGTCAACCTGCTGTTAATGTGTTAGGAAATATTTAGTGGGCAGTTAAAGTTTACACTTGTGAACACAACCTTCCATAGTAATTGATTTTATGATGGAATTTTTTTTTAAAAATAAATTGATTTAATTGTCTACCGAATTGAAGTGCCATT